TTGTTCGATGTATAGTCGTGACAGCTAACGAAATAACCGTTGTGCTTTAGCAATCGATAAGAAATACCTGGAGATTAATTTTTATTAAAATCCGGAAATAAATCATTTAGTGAACATTGTATTTATCAAATGCTGATATGCGTGAAATATGTTCATTATATGCCGGGTATCACAAAAATATTCCCAAATATTCTCTAACGTGTTAAATATTCTCTAACCTCTAAAATATGCTTTTTTATGCAAAATAAATTTTTTCCTGTGAATTCTGTGTTTCATGATTCGTAAAGATTTCTCACTCCCATTTAACTGCATAAACTAGAAACAAATATGTAAAATCATAAAAATCCGACCTCTAGTGATAACGTATCTAATTGACACTGGTGTGTCACGCGCATGCGCAATGGGTGATGTGCATACCCGTCTGGCCGAATTCAGTTACGGTTCGTAAATACGCGTCCGGGACGCAATTCGTTCAAAAAGGTTAGTTTACCTGTTTTGGTACGCAATTCGTGTGTACCCAACGGCAATATAGAAGGCAGGCGCTAGGATTATAATAAGATGCAACCGTGGTTACAAGGTGTCTTATCACTTGTTTTTGGTACTCAAGGTGGATATATACGGTGGACAGCAAACACCCTCCCATCTTTTTAGAGGGGTACGTTGTATTTACTACAGATGATAATCTCGGCAGATTGCGCTGTTTTCAATTGGTGTCCTGTTTTTATCAAGAGCTGACCGAGCACTGGCGAGCCGGGTGGCAGATCGCAAATGCATTAGATGCATCAATTTTGCATTTTACATTGCAAAATTGCATACCAGCGATTAACATAATAATTATAATATAATATATTAATATATTTTTATAAAATGAGTAAAAGCAGAAAATGTTTTGTTCCTGGTTGTGATGTTGGGAATAAAAAACATAGGAAGGAACATACAGCTTTAACTCCTAATGTTAAGTATCCATCACTGTTTACAGCTCCTAAAAATGATGTAAATATATAAATACATATATTAGATAAAAGTAGTATAATATTAAACTCCACATGTTAATTGAAATGTATAGATTTTATTTAATGAATGGAGTAAATGTATTTCTAGAGCAGACCGTCCTTTAAGTCATACTGATAGAGTGTGTGAACGACATTTTTTACCAATATTGGTTATAAGACATTTTGATCTTACTGGACCAGATGGGGTAAAATCATTATTAGAAAGAGAGAGACCTATATTAATGTCTACAGCTGTACCTATTATATTTTATAATCTACCTAAATATTTAACAAAAACTATTACCAAACGTAAAGCACCAACGGTAAGAAATGTTTTACCCAAAAAAGTTCAAAAAATGTAAGTATTATTTGTAGGTATTTAATATTATTAAAAATTATTATTTAATTGTTTCTGTATCTTAAATAGAGCTGCAAAGAATATATATAACAATTAACAAATGCTTTTTGCTTTCGCCTGACAATACTTCACAAAGTAATACATTAACAACCACAATTGCATTGCTTGTAGAAATACTAAACACTTGGTAAATATTATAGCACTTGCAGATACACTATTGCATGATAATTCTTCGCTTTTCCCTATTATTTCCCCTAAACATATAGGTTTTGACATCAATAGAGATGCGAAGAATGTTAAATTACCAGGTACAATGTGGGGCATTCATTATGACATTGATACAACTATTTATTCCCATATAGAACATTTGTACACTGATAAAATTGTTCGCTTTAATTCAACTATCCCTCAGGTAAATAAAAGTATTATTAATTTATTATGTTTTTATATTCCTTAAATTAGTTTACTCATAGTTATACACCTTGTCAATAATAATAATTAGTGGCTTATATTTTCAATAAAAAATAATAACATTAATTAATAAACTATTAATGTTACTTGGTTTTTAGGTATTTTTTTTAGGTAGGGCAATTCAAATTGGAAAGTAGGTAAATAGTATACATGATGTCGAACAGCTATTAATTGGAGTAGATCAATTAAATACATATCCAGGTGTTGAAAGTAAAAATCATATGTTTATATCATCTTAATGTATGAGTTATATAAAAGGAAAACAGAAAACTTGTACAAATTGTCGTTTTTTGAAAAGTAATATTAATAAAAGGTCACTAAAAAAAACTTTACAAAATAGAAATACCTTTAAACTAAATAGAAATCTATCTAAAAAGGTATTTTTTTCTATTAAGGGTTGTACCTGAATATAAAAAATGATTGGTTATAATAATATTTAACTATTTTGATTATTAGGTTACTACTTTGAAAATGCAAGTAAATCATTTAATGAAAAAATTTAAAGAATGTAATTCAAAAACCTAAACAGATGTCTATTGAAAATTTACCTGCAATACAACAAGAAATCGTCAAAGCTTGTTTTAAGAAATTTTTAATAAAGTCTCCCTTTGGCATGAGATATTTAAATGAATATATCTATCAATGTATTTTAATGAAAATTAAAGGACCAGTCTTATACAGAAAAATGTGTCGAGATAATACTTTACCATTATCTTCCCGTCTTCCCAGAAAACTTTACAAAATTATATTAAAAATTTAAAACCAGCATACGGATTTCAATAAAATGTATTTTAAATTTTAGAAGAAATAGTTAAGCTTTTAGATGTGAATGAATGACATGGTAAATATAGTAGGTAGTTAAATATATTTTATATGAAGTATAAAATGTGTTACTTTGTTTAGGTGCATTGTTTTTAGATGAAATGGCTCTATCATCAGCTGTTTCTTTCAACAAATCAACATTGAAAGTGGATAGACTTGTTGATCTTGGTTTATACACTCCAGTAAAACAAATAAATCAAATGGGTGATCATGCACTAGTATTTATGTTTCAGCCTTTTCGTGCCCCATGGGTACAATCAATATAGGCTTTTCTGAGTAAAGGAGCCGCTACAGCTAACATGTTACAAAAACTTGTTCTAGAGGCTATTCTTTTATTAAAACAATTTGGTTAGTATGTCCATATATTTGTAACTGATGGAGGGTCATAGAATCGTGGAATGTGGAAATTATTCGGCATTGACGAGGATAACGTAAGGTGTGAGCATCCTATTGACCAGAATAGATGTCTTTGGTTTGCCTCGGATTTCCCTAACTTAATAAAAACTATTTGGTCTCGTGTATTAAAACAATTTTAATGGTAAAATGTATTTATTTTTAATTTGCGAATTAACTAAAACCTAGTTTTTATTTAGACACCAGACGGTACTGTTGATTTTAAATATTGGAAATTGTTGGTCGAATTTGATGAAAAAAATTATATTAAATTGTGTTACAAAATAAGTAAAAATCATTTATACCCTCATCAGTTTCAAAAAATAAAAGTAAAAATGGCAATGATTGTAAGACTGATGTTTAAAACTTTAAAACATATTTTAATAAGTTTTTTTGATATTTAGTTTTTTAGTGGCACAGTGGCAGATGCTTTGGAAGAATTACATAAACGAGGTTTAGAATATTTTAAAGGATGTCTTCCCACTATTAAATTTATTAGGAAAATTAATTTGTTAATTGATATTATGAACTCAAGAACTGCACATACTTCTATAGCATCTGACAAAGAATCGCATGGACAAAAAGTTGTAATTGTATCAACTTATATGATTACCTAACTTAAAATTTTACTGACTATAGGTAGTACGAGAATACTTGGAATATTTGTACAATTGGAAACAACTTATAACAAATCCAAATGATTTTTTGACAATTCAAACATACAAGGGGCTTGTTGTCACATTAAAAGGTACACTTGAAATTGTTAAACATATTTGCGATGAAATTGGTTATAAATATTTAATGACAAGGCGAATCAACCAAGATGCACTGGAGGTAAAATTGTCAATATTTTTACAATATTCATTTAAAAGATATATAAGCATTAAATATAACATTTCAGCATCTCTTTGGAAACTTACGTAATGCATGTGGATCAAATCAGCATCCTGATCCACTTCGTTTTATTCAAGTATTTAGGCTGTTGCCATTTTACTCATTAGTTAAACCACAAAGAGGTAGTAACGTTTCTGGTGGAGAAATACTGAACTCTCTTATACATATAAAACTTAATACCGAGCTGACTGAAAAATTAAAATTTGTAAATAAATTGGACAAACTATTAGATTTTGGATATTTTAGTGAATTAACTGATCACACATATTTTGAATGTTTTGATAATAATATGTCAAATAACATTGATTCTTCTGCTCTTACCTATTTTGTGGGATATGTTGTCAGACAGGTACGGACATTTTCAATTGCAAAATCCTGTGAAGAGTGTTTTATACCATTAATCAAATGTGAAGATTTTGAAGATCATGATTGCTTTACCTTACAAAGGAGTCGAGGCAACTTATTTATATTATCAGATATTTTGCTTAACTTAATATATACTTATGAACAGGCAATTGATAAAATACTGGAGAAAGATAATTTACAACAACTAATTTTATTTGAGGGTAAAAAATTAATATAAAATTAAAAATGTTAATATATGCTGATATGATATTAATAAGTTAATTTGTTTTTTAGTTTTAGATGAAATTAAGAATCATTGCTTTCCAAAAGTTGGCTGTGATGAACATAAATTTCAATTGTCTAAACATACTATAGTCGAGCCAACGAGAGAGTACTATTGGGCGGCGACCAAAACTCATCCGTTCTCGCGCATTCCCACCACTAAAACTTCCTAACTGCTGGCCGCCGTCAACGCTGGCCGCCGACACCGATGTCGCCACCATCGCCGACGCTGCTGCCACCACCGTCGCCGCCGCCGACCAGGAAACGGTGACACTGTGACAGTGTTTGTATACAGCGTGAACTATAATAGTATCTCCGATATTTTAAACACAACATTTTTGTTTTTTCACGCACCCCGGTGTTTTATACGGTTTTATTTAACTTTTTTTACGTTTTTTACTTAACAATTGTTTAATAGTTTTACGTATAACAATAAGTACAATATGGATGTCGCAGCTGTGTCTCTTTCCAAAAAAAATCCATGTGGAAAAGTAAGTGTTTGTATTTATACTATTTTTTTTACTATTTATTTTTTTATTTTTTTTTTATACTATTTTTTAAATTCTTAAATTCTTAAATTTTAATTTTTTTTTTAGTTCATCGGCACTGGTCAAAGGAAAATTATTGTCAATTTATATAAGAAAATAGTTAAACACCAGCTTGAAAATCCTGACAGCCCTCGAATGACCTTAAGAGAAATGATCGTCGATATCTCAAAATCTTCGGGTATTGGACAGCGGTCTGTTCAAAACATATTATCGGAGTATAAGAATCAAGGAACAATTACATCGCCGAACAAGAAAAAAATTCGACCTACAATAATCGAAAAAATCGATGAATTCGATAAAAATGCAATAAGACAGAAAATACACAATTTTTGGAGGAACCGCGAAGTACCAACAGTCGATAAAATGTTAATCGCCATTAATGAAGATGAAACACTTCCAAACATTAAGCGGTCGTCATTTCAAAAAGTGTTGAAAGATTTACAATTTCAATACGTAAAAAAAAAACGTAATAGTGCACTACTCGAAAGAGAAGATTTAATAGCTTGGCGCCGAAGTTATTTGGTCAAAATAAAGCATTATAGAGAGCAAAACAGGCCAATTTATTATTTGGACGAAACGTGGGTCAACGCAGGCGATACACACAGTAGAACGTGGACCGATACCACAATAAATTCATCACGAGATGCATTCCTCAAGGGCCTAACCACTGGACAAAAAGAACCCTCAGGAAAAGGTAAGCGTCTCATCGTCTTACACATCGGGTCGACAGATGGTTTTGTCCCGGGGGGTCTTTTGTGTTTCGAATCAAAGACCAATTCTACGGACTACCATGACGAGATGAATGGCGATACATTCTATGAATGGTTTGTACGAATTCTACCACTATTAAAAGAAAACGCCGTCATAGTGATGGATAATGCTTCGTATCACTCCGTAAAGAAATGCAAAATACCAACTATGTCTTGGAAAAAAAAAGATATTATCGATTGGCTTGAAATGAAAGGTGAAATCGTTAACCATCCAATAGTCAAAAATGATTTAATAATAAGAGTTAAAAAAATAAAAAACCAATACGACAAGTACGTAATAGACGAGTGCGCAAAAGACAATGGCAAAATCGTATTGCGATTACCCCCATACCACTGCGAGCTAAACCCTATCGAGCTCGCGTGGTCTTCTGTAAAAAGCTATGTCCGGACACATAATAATACGTTTAAAATAAAGGATGTACTGGAGTTATTAAAAAAAGGCGTGGAACATGTGACAGCGGAAATGTGGACGAATTTTGTGGGACATGTCGTCAAGGAGGAAGAAAAGTTTTTGAACATTGAACATATAACAGATGAAGTATTTGACGAACTTCCCGAAGCAGAAGGACGTCATATCATGACGATAACAGGTGATACGAGTTGTTCGGAATCGGACTTCGATTCGGATTGATTTCTTTGTATTTTATTTTTTATCATTCAAATATTTTTTTTATTATAATTTTTTTTTTTTGTAATTTAATGATTTTGTTATGTGTATAAAAATTATGTAATGCACAATTGGACATTTTTGTTAAAATAAATAAATGCATAATTAAAATATTGATATTACACACACATTATTTGTATTGTTGCTGTAATAGGTACATTATAGGTTCGGCACTACGGCAGACGCCAGCTGTTATTTTTTTTTGGGTGGTGTGTTACTTGAGCTGGTGTATACAACCAGTGGTTGGCGGCGGCCGTGGAATTAGTCGACAGCCGCCGTTTAGTGAGTGGGGGTATTTACGGCGGCAACTAGATGGTAGAGTGGGAGAAATTTGGGTACGAAACCGCGGAGCTCGATCATTTGGATGCGCGAAGGAATAGTACTCTCTCGTTGGCTCGACTTTACCAAGTTTTATTTGACAACAAGAATGATTTTTGCATGTAAACAAAAAAATAAAGATTTTGAAGCTAAAAAAAGTACTGAAGAGATTTAAAAAAATATCTAAACTCATTTAATTTTTATTGTATAAATAATTGTTTTTAAAATAAAATATAATAAGCATATTTGTTATTTTACTTAAGAGGACGTGATACCCGCATGTGTTGTCTCCGTCTTACAAGTGCGTAACATAGCAAATTATAAGCTCAGCAGAACACGTGTAGCTCCGTTAGTTTAAAAATTAGTGCGAATTGACCTCTTATAAAATGTAAAGGTAAGATTATTATCTAGTCAACCTCATAGGTTTTTTATTATATTTTAATTTCAACGCGAGTTATGAGTATTTTAAAATGTATAAAAATTTTCCAATTTTAAAATACTCATAACTCGCGTTAAAATTAAAATATAATAAAAAACCTATGAGGTTGACTAGATAATAATCATACCTTAAAATTTTATAAGAGGTCAATTCGCACTAATTTTTAAACTAACGGAGCTACACGTGTTCTGCTGAGCGTAAAATTTGCTATGGTACGCACTTGTAAGACGGAGACAACACATGCGGGTATCACGTCCTCTTAATATTATAATGTAATTGAGGTTTAAAAGTAATAACGTTTGATGCGCACCTGTGGGAAAGGCGTGGTGACCTGGAGTAGCACAGTAGTTTAAAGAAAAAAGAACACAATAGACTTGGCGTCGCACGGACGGCTGATTATACATTAAATAAAAAAAACAAGATCGTGAACACGAATAGTGAGCGTGCTTGACAGCTTCGGTGAACAAAAAAAAACGTGTTGGCGGTGAGGTTGTGTACGGACGACGATACGATTTTTGCGTGTCGGACGTACGTTGTAGCCGGTAGGTTGTGCAAAAGGTAGTAACAACTAGTGATGGGTCGTTCCTGAACGAATCGTTCCAAATGAACGAGTCCAGTAGAGGAACGATTAGGAACGATTCCACCCGAACGTTCCTACTCGTTCCTTCGTTCCATTTCGTTCCTACATTCCATCCGTTAAATATACATCTACCGTGACCACGGTTATCTACACAGGTTGTAACTCGCGCTATGCTGTACTGAAGAACAGAACGACCAAGGGTGGTGGCCGCGTGAACTACAGCGCTATTGTGTTTGGCCCTACTTTCGTATGTAGAACGTACGTCGTTTTGTAATTTTTTGTTAATTGTTCAAATATAATTGATTTTACGAACAAAGTGCTGATTACTTAAATTATAGCCTATAGTATTTTACATAGTAATCACTTATCATATTTTCACTTGACTGTTTTTATCAGAAAGTACTAAGTTTAATACAAAAGTAAAAACAACCACGATCTCTTTACGTTTACAAACGTAAATTTGCTCGTACATTTTTAATTTTATATTGTTAATTGTTATTTGGTAAATTATACTATGGTGAAGTGTTGTGTTGTGGGCTGTACATCAGGCTATAAAAGCAACCCTGAAAAAATTCCCCAGTTCTGTGTACCTAAAGATGTAAAACGACGCGAAGTTTGGGCAAAAGCTATTCCTAGAAAGGATTTTATTTTAACAGAAAAACACTTTGTTTGTTTCAAACATTTCCGTGAAGATGACATTATAAGATATTGGAAATCTGGTGACATACAGGTTAGTTATTATTACCTAATTAACTTATGAACATAATTTAATTGTATGCATTAAGTACCGTGTATATTTATGTGCACATATTGAAATATCTCAGTAAATATAATTTGTATGGAATGGTATTAGTTTAATATATTATTTTGGTTGTAGGTATACGTTTCTAGGTACCTAAGTCATATACCTAGTTGTACCTACCTACCTAAATACAAAGATATGTACATTTGAACAAAATAGCTTTTTATTTTTGTATTTTACATTTGGGTACCATCAACCACATTTCATATTTTGTACCTATTCTTTATTGTATTTTGAAAAAGGAATTTTTGCCAACAGTATAGGTAATGCATATATTTAAGTTGGGGTAATTAAAATTTAAAAATGTGTGATAAATTATGAAACTAATTTTATGTAAAATAAATTAATGTGATGATTAAGTTTACCTTTCTTAAAAATTTTCTCAAGTAAATTGTGTTTTGTCCACAGATTCCTTATACAAAAATTAAATTAAATGAAGAAGCTGTTCCTTCAATCTTCCCGGGTCCTAAATACTTGTCAAAGAGCTCAACCAAAAGAAAAGGTGTACTGTTAGGTGTGTTATACCCAAGAAAATTAAATTTGGTGATCCAGAACACCTTAAACAAGATGTATTAAATTCAGAAATACCAATTGAAAATGTATCTACAAACTTAAAAATAAATTTTAACCTGTTTGATGAAATAGCTAGCTGTTCGAATCTGTCATCAATTATACATTGGCCTCTTGCATCACCTGTTTGCAATAACAGTATCCAAAACAAATATTGTTTTGTATCTTTCTGTTTTGGAGATTATTTCCCTGTGATAGAAAAATCAGTCATGGTTAATAAATCTGGGAAAATCACATTTGGAATTTTAGGCAAAGAAGTTAGTTGTACAGTTCTAGTTATAATTCCTGGAGAAAATATTAATTTACTTGCTGACAACATTAAAGAGTTTGAAAAAGTAAATATTTGTCATGGTGGACCTAGAATTGAAGAATTTCCCAAAATGTCTTCAAATTTGTGTACTAAATCTACAACTGGTAGATTAAAACATAACCAATGCCTTCAAGTCATAAAAACTGGCTCTTCAGCTTGTCAAAGGTGTAAAAGATTAAGAAATGTACTAAATATGCAAAAGCAAAGAATGGTATCTGGTAGCAGGCAATTAACTCAATTATCACCAACAAAAAAGTTAGTAGTGAATGAATTGCGTAGGGTAAAAAATAATTAGCAAAAAAAATTTAACCGAGCCAAACAATGTATAGTTGATTTAAAATTGGAACTAAATAAAGTGCAGAATGAAATGTCCAAAATAGGCAATGAATCTATTAAAGACAAATTAGATCAATGTGAAAATATGAACGAGTCCCAAAAGACATTAATATTGGAATGTTTTGCAGCAAGTAAAGTCAAAAATGTTAAAAGTTGTCGATATAGTGAACACTGGTTGATGCTCTGCTTGTTATTTAACATCAGATCACCAAGTGCTTATAAGTATCTACGCAGTAGTGCTTTACTTCCTCTCCCTCACCCTAAAACTGTTAGGCGCCACCTCTCGTTAGTAAAAACTACTTGTGGATTTGATCAAGATTTCATAAAAATACTTTCTAAGAAAGTTGAACGAATGACTGATACAGCAAAACATGGTGTACTTTTATTTGATGCTGTTCACCTAAGAAAAAGTTTACACGTAAATTCGTCAACTTTAACCTATTCTGGCTTAGAAGATTTTGGTAATGATATTTCTGGAGCTGGTCATAAAGAACTAGCAGACAATGCTTTAGTCTTTATGTTTCAATCTTTGGGGTCTAATTTTTACCAAACAATCGGTTGTTTTGCCTCCAAAAGTGAAGTTAAAGGTAAACACAATTCATTATGTACATTTATATCCTTTAATTAATTGTAAAATAAAACTTTTATAGGAGTAACTATAGCTCAATTGGTTTTAAAAGCTATATCACTTTTGAAAAATATTGGTATTTCGGTGGATGGAATTGTTTGTGATGGAGCAACAACCAATAGAAAAATGTGGTCTGAATTAGGCATAGTTGGTTCTCAAGATGGCATGAAAAATTATTTTGAACACCCTTCTATTAATAACAAAAGAGTTTATGCATTTTCGGATTTTGTACACCTTTTCAAGTGTGTTCGAAATCGTCTTTATAATAATAAAACTTTAAGAGTAAGACATATTTTGTTTGGAGTAATTACTAGTATTTTATTGTCCTTATTAATTGTATTTTTGTTTTATAATAAATTGCTTATTTTGTAGCTACATTCAGAATCTGATAGTGTTGCCTGGGGTTATTACAGAGAGGTGTATAAAGAAGATACTAAACATCCAGCAAATCTTAGAATAGCTCCTAGAATAACACCCCAACACCTTGATCTTACCTCTATGGCAAAAATGAGAGTGAGACTTTGTACACAGGTACCTACTAACAATCTATAATTTAATTTAATCTTATGAATTAAAATTTGAAATTATGATATTTCTAAACATTCCAGGTACTAAGTATGAGCATGGCTAAAGCAATGAGATACTACAAGAGTAAAGGTTGTGTTATGCTAAAAAGTTCTGATGAAACAGCCAATTTCACCGAGTTCTGGAATAATCTTTTTGACAATTTAAATCGTAACTTACCCTGGCAAGGGTTAAAACTAAATGACCTTGATGGATACAAAGTAATGTTAATTCTTTTGTAATGAAATTTAAATGTACTGCCTATAAATTATAAATTTAATAAATACATTTTTTAAATATTTAAGGATGCATTATACTATATAGACTGTTGGGAAAATGAAATGTTTGCTGGTCATATTAATCCAGAAGAGTTCCTTACAAATCAAACAGCTGAAGGGTTAAGGGTTACACTAAATT